TGCTAATGAAAATAATATATAACAATAGTTTTAATAATACAAAAGATGATACATGGCATAGTTTAGTCAATACAGTACATTAAAGTTTCCTATGATTTACCATTCTCCGTGTTGTTTTTTTTACATACCTGTTAACAACACAAGTGGGCAGTATTCATATCCACCACAGCTGAATATAAAAAGACAAATCAGCATCCAGTTTAAGTTCCCATGGTACAGATTTCTTTTTTTACAGTACTTGATGATTTTACAGTACATAATTTTACATTTACCCAGTAATTATAATTCATAAAGTGTTGTTTTACCTCCAATACTGCTGCTTTCAACACAGTACCCTGCTCTCTACACGTGTGACTGGTCTGCATAAGTACAATATGGCACTAACCCTTTACATACACCTGCATTTGTATGGAGTGTATGTGATGGGGTTGGCATGATGATGTCATCACTAAGGATTGCAACTGCTGGATCCAGCTCACTTTTTGGCCTGATGATGTCATCACTAGGGATTGCAATCGCTGGATCCAGCACCTGGTGCTGGATCCAGCGATGTGGATCCGCAAATACTCAATTAACTTTCTAAATAATGGCACAAAAGTCTACATTGTTGGCCTTGCCACTTTGCTACATGCACTATCGCTTGGATGGAGTGACGTTGCTGTTCAGTGCGGCATGTGCTACATCCCCTCTCTACACCACACTGCCCACCCTTTTACCTCTGCTGATCTAATTGCCAGTTGACTTTCCGTTCTCGCTAAATAAAATAAGTAACTCCTATCCTAGTCTTGGTGCATAATTCTAATTTACGGTTGGTTGTGACGTCAATGAATCACGTGACAGAACGATCGCAGTTTAAACTGGCGTAGAATCTCTCTGCAGAAGAGTCGAGTATGATAACTGCTGACACAACCCTGAAATTTGTCTTAGACAAACCAAAAAGCCAGGACTCAATCTTGAGTGCCAACCTTTCCGAGGCACTCCACAAAAGAATCACAGAACGGCATCTTACCAAGGTCACAGGGATGCTGATTTACATACAGAACCCAAAGAAGTATGACCAAAAAGTTAGAAAGATTTATCTTTCACATGCAGAAAAAAATGTAACGCGCCAGGAGATGAAAAATATGCTAAATCGTGTAAATACATATGTAGTGGAACAAGCAGCAATGACAGAGGATATTACGGAAGTGGAAAATGATGATTCCGATAACCCGGATTCCCTGAATTTCACATTGGAACAAGAATTAGAGATCCAACTAAAGCGTGAGAAAGAAAACTTCATGAAACGGAAAGAAATTAGTACGGAGAAGGATTATAAGTTATTAAAAAAGGAAATGGCTGTTTATGAAAGTGAGGGAGTCAGAGATGAAAACTTATCTTTGATTTATCATTATTTGATGACACTGAAACCAACTAGTGTAGAGGCAGAAAAGGCCTTCTCTGAAGCTAAATATATATGCAGTTCATTAAGAAGTAGGTTGGGAGACAACACCCTCAATATCATTTGTTTCTTGAGATCCTATTTCCAGAAAAGTCAAAAAAATAACAGAAGTGATTGATTTAATTTTATTTAATCCTTTAAAATACTTTATTCAAGGCAAGACTAATATTTTATAACTTCTACTCTAATTCTATTAAGTAAGAGTTTTTAACTTTTATTCTATAAGTATTTAGTGGGCTAGGCTAGACAATTTTATTGCTAAAATTAGTGAGAAACTGAGACTATCTAGTTAGTTAAATAGTTAATTAAATTAATGAGTTTCACTATCTCAGACATATGATGATATGAATGTATGTGATTCATGATTGTGATAATAATAACTAACTATTAGACTACTACTAATTACTTACTCACTACTTTACTAACACTAATAATTAAATTATTTATAAATAACTACAGACTGATATGTAGAGCCTATATAAGAAAACTGGTAAGACTGGTAGCCACTTAGCCACTGATTATCCTTACATTAATATAATATGATATATTAATATAAATTAATTAGTAAAATTACCTCTGCTATTATTTTAACTTAAAGATTACATTATAATTATAATCTAACTAAACATTTAAAGTTAATTATCTCTATCTCAAGTGTTAAACCGAACCAAAGTTAAGTTTACTACCTAAATGTGTAAGAAGTTTTACTGATTTATAGTGACCAGTCTAAATAATAAAAGTTTCTTAAGTATTTGAAAAAAAATGTTTTATTTCTTTAAAAAAACCCGTAAATTTCTGGATAGATAGATAATACTTTATTGCACCAAAAAACATCCGTGCATCATTCCAGCTGGATCCAGCTGGAATGATGTTGGTCCAGCAAAAATCCAGCTGGATTAAAAACACTGCTGGATTGCAATCCCTAGTCATCACACTGGGTACTTGTATGTGGGCAGACCTGCCTAGAGATAGATAGAGGAGCAGTGTCTCAGTTCCTAAGATCATCAGAAATGTGTGTTTTTCGATGGTCTTAGGTGGCCCCTGTGAAAAAATCATTTGACCACCAAAGGGGTTGCAACCCACAGTTTGAGAACTGCTGCTATAGAGATTAAAATAATTAAATTTATTAAGTTTATGATTTTATTATTATTTGTGTAACTTTAATTTATTTTTACTGTCTGCTTATTATTCGTTATAAAAAGGAAATATGACAAAGTGTAACTAAATTATAGTCCCTGGGCAAAATCTGGCCAGTGAGCATATTTAAGACATCACTTATAAAGATAGAAATAAACCTACTTTCTTGCATTTGTATGGAATATATGAACTATCTGTAATCCATCTAATAGGAATTCTAGACTTTGTTAAGCCTGTGGTGTGGAAGATGGTGCAATACATTATCTTTTTGACTGTATGATTTTTGATAGTTCATGCCTTGAGATTCAATTATTATTACAAGAACTGGGAATTATGCAACCCTTTTGATATTTGGTGTACAAAGGAAATATATTATGCTTTTAAGAGACTTGCTAGGCATATCAATACTGTAACTCACAACTCTATCTACAGTTAATCGTCATGGCCTCTGGTTCATTTAATGAAATTTGTAGCATCTACACGCATATTTCTGTTGTATAATATAATATATATTTTTCTTCTCATCCAGTTCTAATATTATGCAGATTGGTTGTTGTTGCATCCTTACATGTAATGTGTTTATGCACCAGCTGCCTTGTATTTGATTTAATGTTATTTTAATTTTGTTTTTATTACATGTAATTTTATTCTATGTGTAATTGTTTCGGTTTTTGTCACGTGTGATTTCTCATGTGATTGTTTGATAGCACTTGTTTGCTTTTGTTGCAAGCTTTTATTACTTAGACATTTATATAATAAATTGATTGCAAGTGTTTTGATTGTACTATAAAATATTACTGTTATTCTGTTTAAGTCACTATGTAAACTCATACTACTATGTGATTATTGTCATTATGTGGCTAATTTCTTATATTGTCGGTATACTAATATGTTCTTGTAACAAATTTGACTGAGTGGTCACATTTGTAGTATATGACACCATTGTATAAGTAGTTGATTGTAAATATCTGGTTATATTATGTAACATTACTGTCACTCTTTATAAATATGTAAACTTATATTACTGTGTAATTCTTGACATTATGCAATTGATTTGCTATACTGACATGTTTTTGAAATCAATTGTTGGCACGCATCATGTTTATAGTATAAGATATTATTTTGATTTTGTTTTTACAATCTATTCAATTAATTATTTAGTCACCCGGACAGAGTGAAATTTCTTTTATGTTTCATGAAATCAATTTACGGCACACGCTAAGTTTGTTGTGCAGTAAACTTTTGTTAGTTATGATTATTTGTTTATTTATCTTATTATACTTATTATTGTTTATTTGTTAATTTATTTTATCTTACTTATTATCATCATCTGCATTTATTTCTGTATTACTTCTTAATATTCATTTAATACTGTATATATACTCTATCCTTCGTAATGCATGTAGTGGGACCAGGGAATGTACAATTATTTTTTTTTGTACGAAAAAAAAAAAAAAAAAAGTCCATCTACTTACAATTTATGAGCAATTTGGCCTACAAATCAAAAAGTTTGAGCACCACTTATATGAACAATTATAAACCAGAAAAGTATCATTGAAAGATAATTGTTTACTGTCATATAGTAAAATTCAATGTTTTTTTTTTAAATTTATTTAATTGCTTAAAAGTTCTATTATTCCTAAGATTCTTACATTCCAAATTAATTAAATTTATTTTTAACAGATAACAATTCCAAAAACAAATTTTCAACAAAAAAAAATTGCTCATTTTTAACAGAAAATAGACAAACAAAATGTAGAAAAACTATATAATTTACAATTATTTAATGTAAAAATTTCATTCATTGAGATGTGAACAAATGATTTCAGAAATTAAGTCAGGCATGATGTTGCCAAGTCATGTGGTCATTAGTGAAACATTCTGAAAAACTTACTCATTAGTCACTCTAAACATTTTTAACTTTGATTTGCTTGAAAATATTTGAGAATCATGTTTTATCCCTTTGCTCAATAAAGGTTCATACCAAGACTTACCCACAAAAACAGTATTATTAAAATCTCCAAGGATCATGTTGTAACCTCCCCCTTGTTAGGATTATTTATAGCAAATAAGAGAAGTGTGATAGAGTAAGAAAGTATATAATTTTTTATTTATTTTTTGAGTCTCCAGAACAAATTAATCAAATTCCCATAAAAATCTATGGTAAATTGATAATTAGTTAACAAAAAATTCACGTAGTGAACAATATTTATTAACTGATCACCCAGTGTATTAAAATGATAATATGTAAATTAAAATATGTCACTGGCATGTTTTGAAAATTCATATAAATATGTGAATTTTAAACTTTTACTACTTCACATAGTAATTCTTATATTTTTGCAATTTCATGAAACATTTTACTTTTGCTTTAATAAACTTATAAAACTTAAACAGATTTTGATAAAATGTATTTGCTTACTTGAACTAATGTTGCAGCAGCTGGAATTTGCCTATTGAAATGCTTTTGTCTCTGCTTCTGCTGTACTTTTAAGGCAAATCCTGAACCTAAAATTCCCTAATTGGTTTAAAGAATTAAGAAATATATCAGTAAGATTTGTCTTAATATATACATTTAATCATATTATTATTTATATTATTAATCATTTAAAACTTTTTTATATTTAATATGCAAAAATTTAGAATAAATGTAATAATTAACTTACTAATTATTAATCAGTCCTTATGTAATAATTTAGTATGTTTGTTACAAATTTATAATTGTATTAGTAAAAAATGTTATGTTTGTTCTAAAGTGAATAAATTTGATGTCTAAAGAAGTCCATATTTAAAGATGAAAATTTTTCTTTTTTAAAAAACTATGTTATTATTTGTAAATAATAAAGTTATTTATGCATAAATAACTTTATAAGTAAAAAGTATTATAAAATGTTATTGACTCCACTTTATTATTATTATTTTTTAATATTACTAATTTCATGAGATTTGTAAAATGACAAAGTAATATTACTGGATGTAAACAAAACAGAACATTATACGAGATAAGCTTTTAAATGTACATAATTAATAATAATGTGAGATCCAGAGCTATGATTTTGTAAAAAGTTGTCATTTAAATTTTAAAGAAAAATAATTTATTAAATAAATTTTAACAAAAAGAGAAAATTTTTGGAAAAAAGTGACGAGGAAGTGGCAAGATAACACATTTGTGAAAGATAACACTTCCCTTTCAATAACTCTTCTTCCTGGAGAGATGACTCGTTGCAAGAAGAGAGAGAGAAAATTCGGTATTGGATAACTACAAAGTTTCCATCCGATATTGTATTTTTCGAAGACATATCGAAACAGGAAACAGACTAAACCTTATAAAAAAAGGCAAGAAAATGTTAAGAAAGTCATCTAAATTGGCAGTGCTAGTCTGATTCCAGTTCAGCAGTTGTTGATCAAGTATAGTTTCACCAACTAATCCAGATAGGCAGTGTCAGCCATCCAGTGCCAATCCAATTCAGTCATTCTTCTGTCGTCCAAAGCCAGCTGACATCAGATTGCCAACAGTTAGAAAGAAATAGAGATAGAAGATAGAAGATTGATAGAAATAGAGAACTATTAAGTCAAGAAGTTGTTGCCTCCAGACTAGATAATCATCATCAAAGACAGAAATCAGCACTCTGAGGTATTTATCAGCTCATGATCAAATGTAAACTCTCTCTCTTGCAGTTAGGCAAAAATAGTTCATAAGATAGTCTCAAAACCTTAAAGAAATTGATAGAAATAATTCAATAAGTGTGCCATTGAGAAATATTTAGATTTGATATTATATTGTTATGAGTCTTTATGTAATCTAGAATTTTATATAATCCAGTTAAATAAATTTAGTTATTATTTTCATTAATTCATTAGTTGAGTTCATTGCTTTTGGGGCTCCCTGTCTCTCTTACTTCCCTCCTCCATCTCTGACTCTGTAAAGTCCCAAACATGCAGCCACTCACATGTGTACAAACAATTCCCATGAACCAAAAGTCACAGGTGGCATCAGACCTGACTTCAAGGGACTGCTGATGCCACAATAATAATAATAATAATAATTATACTTTTAATAAACCTTATGAGGTTACATAAATTTCAATAAGTTCCAAAAATTATTGAACATCAGAAAGTGTTGAGCATCTAGAAAAAGATCTGAAGACAGGTTTTGAAATTTACAGTCACTAGATTAATGAATAACATATCAAAACCAATGAATTTTTATATTAATACAGATGTTTTAGACCTTAGACTGTGGATATATCAAAGCTGATAAAATACCAAATATTGGTATTTGTTGTCAATGATAAACAATTATATACAGTAGAGCGTCAATTTTCCGAATCAATTGGGGAGTGGGGTTGTCCGGATAACTGATATTTCGGATAACTGATTTACGTACGAAAAAATAGTTTAACGTATCCGATGTCGAAAATTTTTTCCGTTGCGTGTCGCTTCGCGTTGAATTTTCGTCGATGTTAAGCCTAACAAAGACTATTGTATCGTTAAAAATTATTTTTTTATTTTGTACAAACAAAATAAATATATTGAAAAATATAAAAATAATAAAAAATTATACTTCAGATGTTAATTTAGTATCAAAAACGTAAAATATTTGAGTAGCCCAAGACATAGCCAAAGATTGAAGCGCCACAGCACTGGCAAAAATTTAAATTTGCCGACTGGAATTCTTTCGGATGATTGACTTTCGGAAAATCGACGCTCTACTGTACTTCTTTTAACATAACATTTTCCCTGCTATTTGCACTAACATTCTTAACATTAATTTTTTTAATTTTTAACAAATAAACTTTACTTACTGCAGGCAATGCAAAAAAAGAGATGGCAAATACAGAGAAACAAGAAGCAACAATTTTTCCCATCCATGTTTTAGGCACTGTATCACCATAGCCAATGGTAGTAACTGTAATCTAATAAATACAAACATTTTTTGAGATTAAATAGCACAATGTTTTAATAATAATAAATAATATCAAAGTCCACAAAAACTATTATAACTTCATAATAGATATTTATAAAAAAAAAATTCTATCATCAATTGGAGGGTTCAAGTTCTAAAATGAACCAAGTCCAAATTAAAATTTCTTTCATTACCTACATTGTATCTGTTATTTGTAATTTTTATGCATTATATATTGCATTAAGTATTCATAGTACCCATTAATATATTTTGATTTCTTTTTAAGATAAAATATTTCCTAAAATACCTGCTGTCTCTTTAATAGTTCACTTTAGAATTGAACCTTCCAATTATTAATCTGAAAATCAGATATTAATTTTAAAATAGACAATACTAGTGTAGACTCCCTATTTCACATATATATCAAAATTTTTTTCTCAAAAATTTAAATAGTGTTTAAAATATACAGGTGTAATATAATTTAAACACTAATAATTTTAATAGTTTTCTGTATAAAATTTATATTAGCATTTTACAGTTATCTTTGTTTAAATTTTTAAATTTCTGAAGTCTTTTCAAATTTTTATAATAATTCATTTATAATTTAAACAAGTAGTTCAGTAATTAATAATGACAGATATATGAAATTAAGATGAAAATTAAAAACTCAAACTTTACATTATTCTAGGTTATTCATGTTTTTTTACAAATTTACTGCACACTCTTATTTAATATACATACATAATATATTATATTGGTGTGGTTGTATTGTTCTATTCTCATACACATTATTAAATGCAGTACATTTTATTCAAAACACAAACTATTAAACTTACACAATTTCTGTTTTTCTTGAATAATTTAACTATCATCAAATAAATCTTATGAAATAAGTCTTGGCTTATACTGTTTTACTTATAAAATATTTTGATAAAAACATTACAACAGAAAAAAACTATACAAATTTACTAAAATATATAATCAAAATTTCTAATAGCAACTTTTTATCACAATTTCTTACAAAATAAAAATTATTTAATAAAATTCTCATAAAAAAAGCCTGACAATTCCTGACAATCTATAATAACTATAGTGATATAAATTTTAAACTATGTTTCAATAATTTATAATAAAATAAAAACTATTACAATATATATTTATATACACTTATTTAAAAATGTTATTTAATCTTGTTTACTACCTCCATGTTTACTGGAAATTTTTTTATAGTTAGTTAAGATTTTTAAGTTTTTCAACAAATTAACAAACTTAGATAATTTAATTTAAACTTATCAAAATTTATATAAAATAAAAATAATATTAGATAATGTGCAAAAAGGAATTAAACAAAAAAATGTGCCTAACAGCCTACTGGAATGCTGTGTCACAGTACTGATTTTATCAAAAAAACTTTTGATTAAAGAAACATCACACACAAAAATTAGACTTCCTTTACCAGAAAATAATGGCTTCAAGCAGAAATAACCATTAAAGAAGCAGGATTCCAACTAATTGGTACTACTATATCATTATTTTGGTTGTTCACTCATGATATTTTTTGATAACTTTTTTATTACAGATTACTTTTTGTTTTAATTTAATATAACTTACATTCTGAAAATGTGAAATTTGGTTCCATATAAATACTAATAGACGAATTGCATTTAAAAAACTTTCTTACTTCAAAATGTAAGCAATTTTTTATCATCAATAAATTTCTTTTATCCTTGCATTTTTTACTGTATTTCAATACAACAAAATTTCAGTATAACAAAAATATGTCAATGGTCTCCTCAATTTCATTATACTGACATTTCACTGTATATATATTTGTGTTCATTATACTGACATTTCACTGTATATATATTTGTGTTCAAGATTTGTCAAAGAGAAGGTACATTCAAAATGATAACAAATTTCCTACTTGAATTTGTCAAAAGAAAGTTTTTAAATAAAATTAGAAAACAGAAGTTCAGTTGAACTGTAGCATTCCTTGATTTTGACAAGGAACACAAAATAACAATCAAAATAATATAAATAACATCTACATATGACGTGAAACAAAATTAAAAGAGCAATAAAACAGAAGTTTATAAAATTAATTTTACAAAAACAGGTAAAAAAATAAGAAAATGAATAATGCAATATAAGACAGTTTTGAATTAAATTCATTCTTTGGATGGATGTCGCCGTTTCTATAATTGAAATTTTCTTTTGTTGTTAATAACAACATAGAAAAATTTCAATTATTTAAATTAATTCATTAAAATTCCACTAAAACAATTATTTAATTTTTCCACTTTTAGTCAGCGTGCAATAATCAAACATTGAATCACAATTTCAATTCTTATTTTGCAGATGAAGTTACCAAATTTTTGATTCCCAATCCAAGGTTATGAATAATGGGGTGTACTTATGTTGAATTAGAAATGGGGCTGTTTCACTGATCATATATCAGTATGTTTTAATTAATAACAATGTAAAAAGTATCATTTTAGTCATTTTAAATCACAGTGTTAGATACTTATTAAAAAGTTATGTCTATTAGACTGCTTTTCAGTCTTGTAGACAGTTTCCTTTTAATTTCTACAGCAGACAGATGTACAAAACATTCAGAAATATATATATATTGCTTTCTCTTTTTGATTCTGTGCTGCATGTTGGCTGCAAAGGCATAGTGGGCATTCTTTTGNTGGTGCAATACATTATCTTTTTGACTGTATGATTTTTGATAGTTCATGCCTTGAGATTCAATTATTATTACAAGAACTGGGAATTATGCAACCCTTTTGATATTTGGTGTACAAAGGAAATATATTATGCTTTTAAGAGACTTGCTAGGCATATCAATACTGTAACTCACAACTCTATCTACAGTTAATCGTCATGGCCTCTGGTTCATTTAATGAAATTTGTAGCATCTACACGCATATTTCTGTTGTATAATATAATATATATTTTTCTTCTCATCCAGTTCTAATATTATGCAGATTGGTTGTTGTTGCATCCTTACATGTAATGTGTTTATGCACCAGCTGCCTTGTATTTGATTTAATGTTATTTTAATTTTGTTTTTATTACATGTAATTTTATTCTATGTGTAATTGTTTCGGTTTTTGTCACGTGTGATTTCTCATGTGATTGTTTGATAGCACTTGTTTGCTTTTGTTGCAAGCTTTTATTACTTAGACATTTATATAATAAATTGATTGCAAGTGTTTTGATTGTACTATAAAATATTACTGTTATTCTGTTTAAGTCACTATGTAAACTCATACTACTATGTGATTATTGTCATTATGTGGCTAATTTCTTATATTGTCGGTATACTAATATGTTCTTGTAACAAATTTGACTGAGTGGTCACATTTGTAGTATATGACACCATTGTATAAGTAGTTGATTGTAAATATCTGGTTATATTATGTAACATTACTGTCACTCTTTATAAATATGTAAACTTATATTACTGTGTAATTCTTGACATTATGCAATTGATTTGCTATACTGACATGTTTTTGAAATCAATTGTTGGCACGCATCATGTTTATAGTATAAGATATTATTTTGATTTTGTTTTTACAATCTATTTAATTAATTATTTATTCACTCGGATAGAGTGAAATTTCTTTTATGTTTCATGGAATCAATTTACGGTACGCGCTAAGTTTGTTGTGCGGTAAACTTTTGTTAGTTATGATTATTTGTTTATTTATCTTATTATACTTATTATTGTTTATTTGTTAATTTATTTTATCTTACTTATTATCATCATCTGCATTTATTTCTGTATTACTTCTTAATATTCATTTAATACTGTATATATACTCTATCCTTCGTAATGCATGTAGTGGGACCAGGGAATGTACAATTATTTTTTTTTGTACGAAAAAAAAAAAAAAAAAAGTCCATCTACTTACAATTTATGAGCAATTTGGCCTACAAATCAAAAAGTTTGAGCACCACTTATATGAACAATTATAAACCAGAAAAGTATCATTGAAAGATAATTGTTTACTGTCATATAGTAAAATTCAATGTTTTTTTTTTAAATTTATTTAATTGCTTAAAAGTTCTATTATTCCTAAGATTCTTACATTCCAAATTAATTAAATTTATTTTTAACAGATAACAATTCCAAAAACAAATTTTCAACAAAAAAAAATTGCTCATTTTTAACAGAAAATAGACAAACAAAATGTAGAAAAACTATATAATTTACAATTATTTAATGTAAAAATTTCATTCATTGAGATGTGAACAAATGATTTCAGAAATTAAGTCAGGCATGATGTTGCCAAGTCATGTGGTCATTAGTGAAACATTCTGAAAAACTTACTCATTAGTCACTCTAAACATTTTTAACTTTGATTTGCTTGAAAATATTTGAGAATCATGTTTTATCCCTTTGCTCAATAAAGGTTCATACCAAGACTTACCCACAAAAACAGTATTATTAAAATCTCCAAGGATCATGTTGTAACCTCCCCCTTGTTAGGATTATTTATAGCAAATAAGAGAAGTGTGATAGAGTAAGAAAGTATATAATTTTTTATTTATTTTTTGAGTCTCCAGAACAAATTAATCAAATTCCCATAAAAATCTATGGTAAATTGATAATTAGTTAACAAAAAATTCACGTAGTGAACAATATTTATTAACTGATCACCCAGTGTATTAAAATGATAATATGTAAATTAAAATATGTCACTGGCATGTTTTGAAAATTCATATAAATATGTGAATTTTAAACTTTTACTACTTCACATAGTAATTCTTATATTTTTGCAATTTCATGAAACATTTTACTTTTGCTTTAATAAACTTATAAAACTTAAACAGATTTTGATAAAATGTATTTGCTTACTTGAACTAATGTTGCAGCAGCTGGAATTTGCCTATTGAAATGCTTTTGTCTCTGCTTCTGCTGTACTTTTAAGGCAAATCCTGAACCTAAAATTCCCTAATTGGTTTAAAGAATTAAGAAATATATCAGTAAGATTTGTCTTAATATATACATTTAATCATATTATTATTTATATTATTAATCATTTAAAACTTTTTTATATTTAATATGCAAAAATTTAGAATAAATGTAATAATTAACTTACTAATTATTAATCAGTCCTTATGTAATAATTTAGTATGTTTGTTACAAATTTATAATTGTATTAGTAAAAAATGTTATGTTTGTTCTAAAGTGAATAAATTTGATGTCTAAAGAAGTCCATATTTAAAGATGAAAATTTTTCTTTTTTAAAAAACTATGTTATTATTTGTAAATAATAAAGTTATTTATGCATAAATAACTTTATAAGTAAAAAGTATTATAAAATGTTATTGACTCCACTTTATTATTATTATTTTTTAATATTACTAATTTCATGAGATTTGTAAAATGACAAAGTAATATTACTGGATGTAAACAAAACAGAACATTATACGAGATAAGCTTTTAAATGTACATAATTAATAATAATGTGAGATCCAGAGCTATGATTTTGTAAAAAGTTGTCATTTAAATTTTAAAGAAAAATAATTTATTAAATAAATTTTAACAAAAAGAGAAAATTTTTGGAAAAAAGTGACGAGGAAGTGGCAAGATAACACATTTGTGAAAGATAACACTTCCCTTTCAATAACTCTTCTTCCTGGAGAGATGACTCGTTGCAAGAAGAGAGAGAGAAAATTCAGTATTGGATAACTACAAAGTTTCCATCCGATATTGTATTTTTCGAAGACATATCGAAACAGGAAACAGACTAAACCTTATAAAAAAAGGCAAGAAAATGTTAAGAAAGTCATCTAAATTGGCAGTGCTAGTCTGATTCCAGTTCAGCAGTTGTTGATCAAGTATAGTTTCACCAACTAATCCAGATAGGCAGTGTCAGCCATCCAGTGCCAATCCAATTCAGTCATTCTTCTGTCGTCCAAAGCCAGCTGACATCAGATTGCCAACAGTTAGAAAGAAATAGAGATAGAAGATTGATAGAAATAGAGAACTATTAAGTCAAGAAGTTGTTGCCTCCAGACTAGATAATCATCATCAAAGACAGAAATCAGCACTCTGAGGTATTTATCAGCTCATGATCAAATGTAAACTCTCTCTCTTGCAGTTAGGCAAAAATAGTTCATAAGATAGTCTCAAAACCTTAAAGAAATTGATAGAAATAATTCAATAAGTGTGCCATTGAGAAATATTTAGATTTGATATTATATTGTTATGAGTCTTTATGTAATCTAGAATTTTATATAATCCAGTTAAATAAATTTAGTTATTATTTTCATTAATTCATTAGTTGAGTTCATTGCTTTTGGGGCTCCCTGTCTCTCTTACTTCCCTCCTCCATCTCTGACTCTGTAAAGTCCCAAACATGCAGCCACTCACATGTGTACAAACAATTCCCATGAACCAAAAGTCACAGGTGGCATCAGACCTGACTTCAAGGGACTGCTGATGCCACAATAATAATAATAATAATTATACTTTTAATAAACCTTATGAGGTTACATAAATTTCAATAAGTTCCAAAAATTATTGAACATCAGAAAGTGTTGAGCATCTAGAAAAAGATCTGAAGACAGGTTTTGAAATTTACAGTCACTAGACTAATGAATAACATATCAAAACCAATGAATTTTTATAATATTAATACAGATGTTTTAGACCTTAGACTGTGGATATATCAAAGCTGATAAAATACCAAATATTGGTATTTGTTGTCAATGATAAACAATTATATACAGTAGAGCGTC